GCCTTCGCCCGTCCACAGAGTCGTCGCCATCTGCCGGCGGTGTTCGTAGCACTTGCGGCGCGGGCTCTCCGCGTCGACAACTACCTCGACTCCCAGACCGCCTGACAGGAATGCCGCCATACCGAGAGGCCGACGCCGCCGAAGGTCCCCTCCGTAGCAGGCCGGCCCCGCACCATCCACCAGCTTGGTCCGAATGGGTCTCAGTCGTAGCCACGACATCCGCACTCGTGTTGGCGATCTTCGCCCATCGCCCCTGCGCCTTGAGGCCTGGGGCGTTCACAAAGCGAACTTGATGTTGCTTGATGTTGCCGTGGAGCGAACGCACGTACTGATTCCACTCGAGCGTGTTGACCCAAGTGCGTCGACACCTCCGCCGTGCCGAAAAGAGGAAAAGTAAAAGGTGCCACAAGCCAACGGGCACCCAGGGTCTCTTGCAGAAAACTGGCGTGTCGGTAGGCCGCCCTCAGCGCCAGTACGGACCATTCGCCCCTTCAGGAAGTGGTAAACCAGGTGCTGGAAGGGCACCCCTGTCAGCTGCCGCCGTTGTCCACGATCATCGGCGCTTGCGGGGCCGGAGGGGCCTCCAAGCGCGGTGCAAGCTGCCGTTCTGGCGCTATGCCTGTGGGCTGACGCGCGCGCACTGCTGGCTGCGGGCTGCTCGCGGGGGCGATCGCCCTCTGTCCGCTGGAGCGTTCCCTGGGCCCGTTTCTTGGCCTCCGACGCCCCGTGGAACACAGAGTGCGGGTTCCGCCGGAAGGCACTGTGCAACCCAGCCGCATCCATCTTCTGCTGGCTGACGCGCCCGACCGCACGCACGTACACCTGGTAGGGCTCGCCCGCGCTCGGTTTCACCTGAAAACTCGCCCCCGGCGGTGCAGTCTTCGCGTACACGAAGGCATGCCCCTGGCCCGTGTCGTTGTCCGTGTACGCCGCGAACTCCGCCACTTCCCACTGGAAGTCGGCCAACATCTTCTTGATGCCCTGCACTCCGACCTGCGGCGTGACTAGCAGGACCTTGTAACGTGTAGTGTTCTCGAGCTGTTCCCAGCCAGGGATCATCCTGACGGCTGCATCGTAGGCCTCTGCGTCTTCCACCGCAGGCCATACCGCACGGGTTTTTTTGCCACGTCTCAACAGGCAAATGCTGGACATCACATCGCAGACGTCCAAAGCCTCTTCGTGCGACACACACTTGGCTCCAACCACAACACGACGTCCGCCAAGCCATCCATCTCGTCAAAAGCGGGATTGAAATAAGCTCCTTGACAGCTTGACTTCTGCAGGAACCCGTCCACAACGGAGGGTGGGATGCGAACCGTAGCGGTGCCGTCCTCCTTGACCACAACCTCGTGCATGTCCACCGTGGCCCCACCGCAATCCTTGATGACGTCCGTGACGTGCATGGCCGTGATGACGGCGTCTGGCGCCCATTCGAAAACGGCCCGGTCGATGTCGACCACGATCGCACCATCGTCTTGTGCTTGGCGACCTGCACCAGCCCTTCCTCCAGGACCCTGTGGACGTGCCCAGAATCCCCCAACTGCGTCAGGTACCGCCGGGTTCCCAAATGATCTCTCCAACCCTCTCGCATGCCGTCCGGGGCCATAGCTGTCTCGTCGAAAACCTGCATGTTGAAGGCGACGGACGTGGAGGAATATCTTTTGTACCCTAACTCGTGCGGTCGGCACACAGACATACTAGTACTTTATGTCATCCTTGGAGGCGCGCGTCCGACCCGACCATATCCATATATATATATATATACACACATGTAGTCGAACCATCTTGTAGTATATCCTTTCCCGAACGGTGTGGTCAGAACGCGCCCGCAACGACGCATATACTGTAAGATTTCTCAGTGCGCGCGTCGCCCCTGGGGGGGCGACGCGCACATAGTATAAAGATATGTTGGGCTAGAGCCGATGGTGAGGTCCTCCGCGGAACTGACAGGCACGCTCCGCTCGTCGGCGAACCACTGCGGTCTGCGGCGCTGCATCGCGGTTCATCGTGGTCCTGCATCTGTTTCGCAGCGCCAGATCTCGGGGCATATCCGACGCCCAGTGACGCGATTTCCTGGGACCCCAGGTGGCAATGGATATGTATGCGCGCGTATGTATGTATATATATGATGTATACGCACAGAAGCAGAAACGCAAAACGAACTTCCTCCCAGACGCCGCTGCCCGAGTGGGAAAAAACCGCGCGTGCCTCCCGGAAAAAAAAATACAGACAGGTAGCGCCTTGACTTCTCATCATCCTCGTCGTACCCCTCTTCCCTCCCGGGACAAGGGATCCCCCATCCATTATCTCACGGCTTGTTTGAGTAGCCTGACATGGTCCCTGTTGTCGAAGGAGAATGATTCGTCCCTGTGCGAAAGGATGGTGCAAAATGGTGCGCTGCCAACACAATGCTATTCCAAGATTCCACAAACTGAACCGTGGTCTACCCAACCACCTCTTTCCACAATACTTGAGCCGTAGTGCGTCGCTATGTAAGCAAATGTCTGCGATAAAATCAGAAGGTTGCGTGGTGATGACTTCGGCGGTCAACACTCCCTGCCACTATCCAGACACACATAGGCACATCGTTATATATATATATACACATACATACACATGTATGTTTACAACGCAGGCCCATATATATATATATATATATATATATATATATATATATGGGGTATAGACACGCTGGGCCCCAGGGGGGCCCGAACATGTCCGCGCGCGCCCCCTCCCGAGGCCCAGGAAGAGCCGCCTGTCGCGGGCGGACGTGGACGACTCCATGCCCCGGACATAGACAAGCGCGTTCCACTGCTCGCAAACCAGCTGCTCGCAAATGGCCTGGATCCGCCGCGGGGGATCTACGATCCAGCACGTTGAGGCAGCTACGTGTTTTTTGTCTGGCGTTTGCGAGCAGGCACTCTGCGAGCAGTGGAACGGGCTCGGCGAGGAGAGCTGCCCAGTCACTGCGCAAATGCTGCGGAGATCCTGCTGCTCCACGAGGCGCCCGACACGGGGCAGGCTCTCGATCTCCTCGAAGGCGCGGCGTTTCGCGGCGGCAGGCGTCGGGGCTGGCAGCAAGCCCGCACATGGCCAGGCGCGCTGCGGCGCGGTATGCCCTTGAAACGTGGCCACAAGGGCGCGGGCTCAGGGACGCGAGCCCCTTCGTCGAAGTCCCTCGGCCTCACGGAGGAACGCAGAACGACGCACGCTCCGAGGTGGAGGGCCCGACCACGTGGCGGGCGCCTCCACGGCGGAGGTGGAGGGCGTCACTCCAAAGCCAGAGCGCTGAGAGGCCCCTCGCGCCAGCTGCAACGTCAGGCGTCGCCTGCCCGGGCCCCGCTCGTGGAGCCCCTCTCGCGGAGCCCAGCTGCGCGCGGCGCCCCCAGACACTCCCGAAGCTGGCTGGGCGGCCCGAAGCCTGCCCTTGCGGTCGAGAAGGCCTTCAAGATGCACACAGTGGCTCCCAAGCTGGCCCAAGGAGACCTCACGAAGATGGTCAGGAGGCCTCGAAGACGAACAAGAGGCCCCGGGAGGCCCCAACAGAAGACGCAGGGCGTCCACATGTGGCCCAACCTCCGACAATCCCACTAGCCCTCTGGGCCACAGGGAGGCCCAAGACAGAATCCGGACACCCGGAACCATTCAGTAGCCCAACATGTGGTTCATGTCATCCGTTGTATCCTACGCTTTTCGGCTCAAGGTGACATCTGAATGCCCAAGAAGGCTCCCATACTCAGAATGGCTCCAGAGTTGCCAAGCAAAACAACGCCGAGGAGGACCCCAAGGAGGCAGACGGCTCAACAGGGGCCCGCGAGAGCATCCGATCGCTACAACCCCATCAAAAAGTTGTCCCCGAGACGCCTCCAGGCGGCCGCAAAAGCTCGCCAGAACGGGCCCAGCCTGCCCGGAGGCCTCTGAGGCCAGAACAGGGAAAGAGAGCGACAGACCAATACTCCAAGAGGCCCCGAGACCCCCCAAAGCGTGCAACCCCCCCGCCAGATACCGCCGAGACGCTCTAGGGGGGGATCCAAGACACATTGAGACAAAAAGGCACGGCAGGCCAACACCAAGGAGCACGGCGGGTTGACTGTATCTTTCTTACCTGCCACGTGCCCCTACCACAAGGGGAGGAGAAGGCGGATGGAAGGGGGAGGAAGAAGAATGGAGCACGAGAGAAATTAGCAAGAGGGAGGCCAGGAGCAGAAAACACGTGGCAGAACCAGACGGGCACATCTGGCGGTAAACCTTAGCGAGCGGGTCGGGAAGGCGGGCCAAGGCTGCCAGGCCGAGCAGGCGGGTTGCTGAAGCGTGAGTCCTGCATGCATCGCGAGAAAATCTCGAGCGATAGCGCAATGACCTCAGAGATCATTAGAAAGGCCAAAGCGGCAACGCGATTCCTGAGCGTCGAGGGCGCGGCGCTTGAATAAATTGCGAGGGCGTCGTACGCAAGAACGCGATTCCTGCACACACTGTAATGGCGCCACGCGCGAGATCGCATTTTTGGAACATGTGTGAAAAGGCTATCAGGGGGAGCGGTTGTTGTTATTGTTGTTTTTGTTATGTTTGCTGTTGTTGCTGTAGTTCGGGGGCCAGAAACCCAGTTTGATATAAGAAACAGGTTGCGAGCCCCAGGAGGGGCACTTCAATTGAAAAGTACAAGTGTGCGCCGGAAGGGAGGGGGTCAACAATCATTAGCTTTCAGAAATGGAAAATCAAAAACAAAAAAGACTTCGGCGCGCAAGGCCCGCCAGATGCCGTTGCTCACCCCACCTCGGTCCTCCGCCTCCACCTCCTGGGCGGAGATAAGGTTTTTATGTCGAAGGGGGTGGTTTACCTTCTGGCGGAACGTGCGCATCACCAACGCGGGGGGCGAGGGTTGGGCATTGGAACGCGAGGGTCTGAGGATGGCGAGAGGGCAAGGGGGGCGAGTGTCGTCGGGATCAGACGTGGGATGGTACTTACGCCAAGGTGCGATGAGAGGCGGTTGGTCTAGGTAAGAGTGGGAGCGGGGACGGACAAGTACTCCTGCTGAGGACGCGGATCTGCGAGGGCCCGAAACCATTTTTCCACACCGAACGCGGCGTTCGTAGCGCAGGACGCTGCCCTTGCTGCGGCTGATCAGTTCTGCGCCTCAGTCGCGCCCACTTTGCGAAGACTGTTCATCGTCGTCGCCGTAGATGTTGTCGACCCACTGCCCATCCTGAGGGCGAGCGCGGCGGCCCCATGGGCAAGGGCCATGCAAGGATCTTGGCCTGAAGCCGTGTGAAAAGCGAGCGTGGCCAAAGGAATTCCCCCCCTTCCATGCCTCAGAAATCCGCCGACCCTGTCGGCGCGTGGAAGAGGCTGCTCCGTTTGACTCGTCGTCGTCGTCGTGGTCGTGGTTGTCGTCGTCGTCGTCGCCTTTGCCGCTCCCCGCCTTCCCCTCGGCCCGTCGCCGCTCCCCCAGTTTCAGCGGGCCTTCCTCCTCGAACGCGCCACCCACAGCGAAATTGAGCAACGTTGCATGTGAGTCGAAGGAAAAACCCCTTCTCTTTCATCCCTTCCCCGCCTGGGGGGGCTCCTGGAGGGGGGGTCCTGAGAAGGGGGTCCCGGGGGGGTCGCCACCCAGCTACGACCCCGCCCGGAAGTTCACAAAGGAAAGAAGCCGCGCATCCATGAAGGACGCGCGGGCGTTATTAGCAACTGAAAAGTTGCCGTGGCCGCAGCGGGCGCCTCTGGGGTGGAGGAGGAGGAGGCAGAATGCTTCAGATGCCCAGATGATCGAGATTGTAGACGGATTACAACCATTGTTGCCCGGGTCCCCCTTCTGCGCCGGCGAAAGGCCCAGTCTTTTGGCGCGCCGTCTGCGTTGCACACCATCCGCTTCACCGAATAATCGTCTGTGTGTGGAACAAGTTGTCTATACAACTTGCAGTGGCAATCGTATAATACTTGATGGTTTGGTTCCACAAGGCGTCCATGATCAAACATCTCATCTAGAGAGCCCAGGAAAGGACGTATGCGCCCAACCACGTGCATGAAAAAAGCCCCCCCTGTCCGCGAGACCAGCCTCGTGAAACGAAGGTTCGCGCAATTCGTACTCTCGAAACCAACGTGGACTCATGTACGTGTACGTATGATGATCGGTATACGGCCGGACCCAGGACAGAAGAACATTCTCAAAGGACGTGAGGCCCTCCGCCAGCCGAACTGAAGAGAACTCGAGGGTACGCCCCCCCAGGATGCATAAGAGCATCCAACATGGACGAAGAACATGAGGGTGCCCTCCCCGAACCGATTTCGATCTTATATCTCGGTCCGACCATGTAACGGGCGGCGGCTGGAGAAGCGCGGACCCCCTCGCGGCCAGAGCACTCCGAATAGAAGATTGGAACTGTGGGGCCCAGAGGGCGGAGTCCAAAGAGGGGGCGCTCTGAAGGCCTCCGTGCACCTCCTGATGCCGAGGAGGAGGAGGAGGAGGAGGAGGAGTGAGGAGGGAGCAGGAGGAGGAAGAGTGAAGAGGGAGGAGGAGGAGGAGGAGGAGGAGGAGGAGGAGGAGGAGGAGAAGGAGCAGGAGGAGGAAGAGGAGGAGGAGGATAGAGGAGGCACCACCCTGGAAGTGATCCTGCAGCTGGGTCATCCGCTGGAGCAAGCCAGGCCTTCGCCGTGCCCAATGTTTGAGCCTGCCCTGAATAACAAGGGTCGGTTTTGCAGTCTGGGCAACTCTTGACGACCCTGGGGCCAGGCGAGGGCCCTTGGGAGAAAGAACACAGCCCAAAGCCGACAGTCGTGATTTGTTTCACGACGCGAGGAGGTCTGCGGGGCTTTCTTTCCTCTAAGCGGCTTCCAGGCCATAACTCGGGCCTCCAGCACCTGTTCGGGACGATTCGGTCACCGAGGGCAAGGCGCGGCTGCTTGAAAGCATTCCGAGGCGATAAACCGACGAGAACCAACGCAACTTCAGAAACCTTCCATCGTTTTTGTTTCGTGACGCAGGCCAAGATATCCTCCGATGTGATTTTTGTTTTATCCGCAGTCCCAAAGCTCCCGACCCCTTCCCAAGGGCCAACTTTTCGCCCCGGATCCATTCTTGGTGGTCCCGAGGCCTGATGACGGCCCAAAGAGCCAAAATCGAGGAAAAATGCCCAGGCTGAGGGATTTGGGTTCGCGACGACAAGAATTCTGAGGGGCCGTCCGACGAGACCCAGACACCCGAAGTCATATTTTTTTCACTCAACAACTCGCGATGCTAGTTTTGCCTCCGGGGGTTTTGATCCCCCCGTCTTGCATGGAAGAAAAACACTAAGCCGCCCCAGGCTGACATGGGTACGTGGTACGTGTGATGCACAAGCACGCCTTGCAAGCATGCACGGCCTCTGGCACATCTATGCACGCTGACCTCAGCCTGGTCTACAGTAGGGCCAGGTGGAGAAGCACTTCCCTGACACGTGCTCTCTGAGAGCTTATGTATCAAACTGCTGGAATTTGCCTTGTGCTGCTTAGCCGATGCGCCGTGCAACGCGGCTCCACTGACTGATGACCCCAAGAGGTCTCGACCCGGTCTTCGGGACCAGTCTTCCATCCTGAGTTTTTGCTTGACGGCCCACGGATCCGGCGGGGGCCCCCAGAGACCGAACAAGCGAAAAGACTTTCGCCGTGATGCTTCCACGACGCAATGGGGTCTGTCGGCGGCGATCGATGGGGGTAGTCCAAGAGGGGGGCCTCCAAGAGAGGGATGAGCAAATCATGGCCGGCGGCATGTGCGTGGCCCAGGGGGGGGCAGGGACGTATTGAAATAATTGGGGGCGCCATGAAATCTGGGGAGGTATCATGGCCCCCGCCATGATCTCCCCCCCCATTGGAGACCTGGAAATTGGCACCAACACCAACACAGGGAGTTGCCTCCACAGGGGGAGGTGGTAATATTTCGGCCACCTTGGAAGCCAGAATGTTACCACCATCAGAGAGATCGGGATCTCCTTCCCTCGGTGGAGGCACGCCGCCGATATTGGTGTTGGTGTCAACCTCGAGGCCTGCGACCCCAGTCATCACCCCCCTCTTGGCCGCCCCCGAGAGGAGGTCTGCGAGGGCCGTCCTTGTAGCGGCGCTCCTCCAAGAGGTGCAGCGCCGCCTCCCGGCCGGCCTCGAGGCGGCGCAGCCTCCGGACGGGGGCGGTCCTGCGGCGGCTGGTACCACCCACGCGGCGGTGGAGGCACTGGCTGTAGACCTCCCGCGGCCGAGGACAACGACGTTCACAACGCGCTGGCGCTCAGGACGAGAAACCAAACGAGGCCGAACACCTGAAACGAGCGAAACGAATTATCCTGGCGAAGGTCCCAACCATATGCAGTTGTGGGTACCGTAATTGTGAACATCTGCTTCGGTGAAGCTCACTGTGGGGCCAGGAAGCGCTGCAATGGGCGGCGGGGAACGCTGTACTGTGTGGGCTGTGTGCCGAACTGGGCTTCCGGCACACATACGGACGGGACTCATGCGGACGGTAGCGCTGGGACCTTCGGTGGGGCTCCCTATGGGGCCACGAAACGCTGTACTGGGCATGCGGGACGCATGCGGACGGTAGCACTGGGACCATCGGTGAGGCTCCCTATGGGGCCACGAAGCGCTGTGCTGGATGGGTGAAACGCAAGGAGGAGGGGGAGGAGGGCCACGAAACGCTGTACTGGGTGTGCGGGACGCAAGCGGACGGTAGCGCTGGGACCTTCGGTGGAGCTCCTATGGGGCCACGAAACGCTGTACTGGGCTCGCTGTGCTGGGTGGGTGAAACGCAGGGGAAGGGGGAGGAGGGCCACAAAACGCTGTACTGGGTGTGCGGGACGCATGCGGACGGTAGCACTGGGGCCTTCGGTGGAGCGCCCTATGAGGCCACGAAGCGCTGTACTGGGTGTGCGGGACGCATGCGGACTGTAGCGCTGGGACCATCGGTGAGGCTCCCTATGGGGCCACGAAGCGCTGTGCTGGATGGGTGAAACGCAGGGAGGAGGGGGAGGAGGGCCACGAAACGCTGTACTGGGTGTGCGGGACGCATGCGGACGGTAGCGCTGGGACCTTCGGTGGAGCTGCCTATGGGGCCACGAAACGCTGTACTGGGCTTCCGGGACGCATGCGGACGGTAGCACTGGGACCTTCGGTGGGGCTCCCTATGGGGCCACGAAGCGCTGTGCTGGATGGGTGGAAACGCAAGGAGGAGGGGGAGGAGGGCCACGAAACGCTGTACTGGGTGTGCGGGACGCATGCGGACGGTGGCACTGGGACCTTCGGTGGAGCTCCCTATGGGGCCACGAAACGCTGTACGGGTGTGCGGGACGCATGCGGACGGTGGAGAGGAGGAGGGGGCAGAGGAGGAGGGGAGAACGCGGGGACCGTTTCTTCAAAACGAGGACCCAACACCACAGGATTGTCCCTCTGCCTCACGCAAGGGAGGGTGGCGGTGTGCAAAATCGCTGGCTCTCACCCCGCACTTCTGGCTCAGGAAAAATCCTCCAGGGTTTTCTCGGCTCTGCCAGGACTTCCTTGGGACTGTCGCACTGAACCCTCGAGAAGTGGCTCAAGGAATCCAAGGATGCTCCAAGCAAGGAGCAGCAGCAACAAATGCAGGAACATCAAGAACAAGAGGAATGGGCAGAGGAAGGACACGGGATGACACGGGACGGCAGAGCCATCCATCGCAATCAGTTCGATCGGCCCTGGCGTAATAGGAAAAACAACACGAATGAGGAAAGCGAGAAACACAACGCCGGGAGACTTGGTTCGCCAGGCATCTGCCCGAGGCACATCCACGACTTGGCCCCTGGCCTTTTTGGGTAGCCAGCTCGACATGAGTTCGCGATTGCATCCTCCATGTTCCTTCTCCTCCTCCTCATCTTCCTCCTCCTCCCCATTGTCCTACTGAGATAATCGGAGGAGGAGGAGGATCCTCCACCGCCTGTCCTCCTCATCCTCCTCCTCCCCCTGTTCCCCATCCTTCCCCGCCTCCTCGACACGACTTCGCGATTGCATAACTCGAGCTCACTAGTGCTCTGGGCACCTTGGACCTGCAGGTTGATGGCACCGTCGCGCATCACAGCCCGCACGAACTCCTGGTCGCTGTCGAGAAGGTGAGCGGTCTCCACGGCATCGCACTGAACCACGACATGCGCCTGACCGTTCGTCCGGAAGGCCTTCGCCCACTGCTTGAGCTGCCTTGCGAAGGAGAACGCGTAAATCTCAATTCCAGCGTTGGCGAACCAGCGGCTGAACTGTGACCTGGCGCGCATGACAGGGAGATGCCAGCCAATCTTCCTGTAGCGCTTCCTATAGCACCTCTCCAGCAGCCAGACCTGAGACACTCGCACGCCCTCTCTCCGGAGCCTGTCCAGGAGCTCCCAGTCGAAGTACAGGCAGCCACAGCCCAGCGTGCAGTATGTGAGGCCGTCGTGACCTGTCACGTTCGCGAACCGAACGATCTGGTCCACGCAGTACTCCAAGAACTCGGGGCGCACTCTCTCCTGCCCTCCGCTCACGCGGGTGAGAGCGCAGTCCTCGTCGGCGCACTCTCCTAGGGCGCTCAAGGGGTTCCTGGCCCCGTCTGGGAACCTCTCGGGCGGCCTCACGTAGCTGTCCCGCAGGGCCAACTGCCAGTCCCCACTGCCGACAGCCCCACGCACGGCCGTGCGCCACTGCTGGGGGAACGAGGTGTGCCGGACCCTACGGCTCGGAAGCTGGGGGCCCCGCACGCGGAAGGCAGAAGGGGAGGCAGATGGCCAAGAGGGGGGAAAGAGATGAGGCAGGGACGGGGGAGAGGAGTTCGGGACATCTGGAGTTCGAAGTTCTCACGCAGAGCTGGAGGAAAGCAAGAACTGCAGCTGTGTGCCCTGCATGATCTTTCGTCTGGCGAGCTTCTTTCTCCTCCTCGTTCACCTCCTCCTCCTCCTCCTCATCCTCCTCATCCTTCACATCCTCCTAATCTTCCTCATCCTCCTCATCCTCGTCCATCCTTCCTCCTCATCTCCTCCTCCTCCTCATCTCTCTTCCTCTCCGAATTTCGACCGGACTGTCAGGAGAAGAACAAGCAGTATGAACATACACTTTCGGAGGTCCGCGCGGACTTGTTGGACCGGCGCTGCACCCCCCCCCCCCCCGGCGGTGCCTCTGGCAGCGCCCCTGGCGCGCGGGACTGGGGGGTCCAGCGCCGATCCAAGAGCATCCGCACGGACCCTCTTCGAACGCTGGCCTTCAGGATATCGACTCTCTTGGCGGGGCGGATGCGAGGCCGGGCGGATGCGAGGCGGGAGCTCGTCCATGCATCCACCGCCAGGGGAACAGGTGTCCTGGGACCCCAGCGGGCGGTGCACGTAGATGTGCCTGGGCCACCTGGGCCTCTCTAGAATAATTGTATGAATTGACAGCTGTGCATGTGGACATGCACGCGCACATATATATATATATATATATATATATATATGTACGTCAGCGTATACATATAGGAACATATATAAATGTGTCCATGTCATTCTTAATGGTATAACTAAATGTTGATGAGATAGCTAAATGGAGTGATCGATATGTTGACAAGTAGATGCGGGAGCATATGTGTACTTATATATACAGACATACTCATTTGTATGTAGTAGCGTATATGAATGTATTGGTGTCTACCTGTAACTACGTGTGTTTCCACACATATACAGTTTGCATATACGTAGTTAACTGTCTGTATGTGTATATATATATATGTAAAAATACATGATAGAGCGTGATCCACCTCCGCGGTGATGTGACAAATCCCCCACCCCCTCCCCCCGGAACCGGGGGGGGTCCCCCCCCCGCCCCTCCGAAAATCCCCCCCCCTTTCACGACCCCCCAACACCGCCAGCACCAGTCCCCATCACCACCGTCCCGTGCCCCCACCGTCCCACTGCCCTCACTGTCCCCACCACTGTCCCACTGTCCCCACTATCCCCAACACTGTCCCCACTGTCCCCACTGACCCCACCACTGTCCCCACTGTCCCCACCAGTGCCCCCACCACTGTCCCACTGTCCCCACTGTCTCCACCACTGTCCCACTGTCCCCACTGTCCCCACCACTGTCCCCACTGACCCCACCACTGTCCCCACTGTCCCCACCAGTGCCCCCACCACTGTCCCACTGTTCCCACCGTCTAAATCACTGTCCCCACTGTCCCACTGTCCTAGTGTCCCACAGTTCAACTGTCCCCCTTTTGTCCCCGCTGTCCCCACTGTCCCCACAACTATCACTGTCCCCACTGTCCCCACTGTCGTCACCGCTGTCCCACTGTCCGCACTGTCCTCACCACTGTCCCACTGTCCCCACTGTCCCCGCCACTGACCCCACTAGACCACTGTCCCACTATTTCCATTGTCCCACTGTCCCCGTTGCCCCATTGTCTCCACTGTCCCCACAGTCCACACTGCCCCCACCACTCTCTCACTGTCCCCACTGTCCCCACCATAGTCCCCACCAAGGTCCCACTGTCCACACTGTCCCTTCTGTCCCCACCACTGTCCCACTGTCCCCACCACTGTCCTACTGTCCCCACTGTCCCGACCACTCTCCCACTGTCCCCACTGTACCCACCGCTGCCCCACTGTTCCCACTGTCCTCACCGCTATCCCCACTGCACCACTGTCGGATTGTCCCACTGTCCCACTGTTCCGATTGTCCCACTCACTGTCCGATTGTCTCCAGTCCCCAGTCCCCAGTCCACTGTACCACTGTCCCATTGTTCCACTGCCCCCACTGTCCTCACCACTGTCCCCACTGTCCCCACTGTCCCCACTGTCCCACTGTCCCAATTGTCCCACTCTCCGCACCGCCATCCCCACCACCGTCCCCATCACTGTCCCCACCAGTCACCCACCTGGAGTGGGGGAGGAGGGGGAGGGGTCTGCCGGCGGCGAATAGGGGGTGGGGCAGGGGGGGGCTCGAGCCAGTAGTGACCGCCCCTCGTTTTCATGATGGACCGGGGGGCCAGGTTTGGAACCCCCAGTGACCCTCCCCCCAGTTTCCGAGATGGGAGGGGACGGGTGCGAAAGCCCCCAACGGACCCCCCGGTTTTCTGCCAGCAGCGGTAGAACACGCTGTACATATATACATATATCTACAAACATATCTATATATATATATATAGATATATGTGTACATCCAGATATATACATATGCGTGTGTAAAACAATACGTTTATGATATGTGTATATATCCGTGTACAACTCTTTCCGAAGTCCAGGAAGGTCGGACAGAGCCCAGCCTCTGGTGCAGCCAGGCAGCCTCTCCAAACCACCAGGAGAGCAGAGGACCGGACAAGGAGGAGGTGGAGGAGGAGGAGGAGGAGGAGGAGGAGGAGGAGGAGGAGAGGGAGAGTGAGAGGGGAGAGGGGAGAGGAGAAGGAGGAGGAGGAGGAGGTGGAGGAGGGGGAGGAGGAGGAGGAGGAGGAGGAGGAGGAGGAGGAGGAGGAGGAGGTTCAGGCCATTAGGAGTGAATATCCGTCCAATGATTCTGAAGGGTACCTAAGGTGCACGATGTACTCCCGCAGAGCAAAATCACGACTGGGAGGAGAAGGAGGGAAGGAAAGGGGTTACAAGGAGGGAGGAATTGGGGGGAGGAATTTGGGGGAGGATGAGTCGTTCTAACACGACCCCTGCAGGTGTATTCCCAGACATCCTCCGAAAAGCTGTTTCCAACTGATTCCCCTCCCCGCGGCTCACCCTGCGCCCGGGATGCGTCATTGGCGGTCCCGGGACCCGATGACGGTCCCCAGGAACCGAAGTCGAGGAAAATAGCTCCTGCACTGAATAACACATATCGGAGATCTGGGCTGGAGCCTGGGGAAATCGAAAGGTACCAACACCGCTTCTCCGCGGACCTCTCCTGGGGTGCCTTCTGAATAGAAATTCGAAGCGAATCCAGTGGTGGCGACGAGGGCCTGCCCTGAGGCCCCAAAAGGCGAAATCGACACCAGTGTATCGGTAGAGGCGTTCTTTATGTTTCGCGATGGTGGCCGTTGCCAGCCCCAGCCGCCCCTCCCCTCCCCCCCAGGAAACGTAACGTCTCCTGGACAGTCCCAGAAGGCGCCGGCGCGAAACGTGATGTTACTGGCTCGATCTCCCTCCCACCCCTGGAAAAGCCCGTTATCGCCCTTGCCCTTCCTCTGCGAGCAGCCTCGCGGCAAGTGGGAAAACTGAAAGGTACCGATGCCACTGCTCCACGGATCTCTCCTGGGGTGCGCTCCGACCAGAATTCCGAAGCGAATCCAGCCGCGGCGACGAGGGCCTCCCCAGAGGCCCCAACAAAGGCGAAACGAGGGAAGGGTAGCGGTATCGACACATGCTCCTCTTCTGACTTGTCCAACCCCCTGCAAGCCGTCTCGCGGCGGGACCCCCCAGCTTCCGGGAATAGCTGGTGCCGTTCAGGCGCCGCACCAGCTCCGCCTTCCTGCCCGAGACCGGCAGCCCGCGCGAGCGCAGCTCCTCCCGAAGCCTCCGCACCGTGAGGGCCGACGAGCCTCAGGACGTGTGCTGGCGCCAACCGCGCGTCTGGCTGAGAGCGTCTACGTTTTTGGCCGCGCGGCCCCGCGCGCGGCGACCGGGCGCAGAAAGTCGAGTGCGGGCAGCGGCGCGCGCGCGCGTCTGCGCCCGGCCGAGCTCTTAGAGACCGCTTGGGGTCGCGCAGCCGAGCCGTACGCGTGTACACCAAGACACGCGGGCGCTCGCCCGAAGCATCCAGGTCACCAAACTTCGCTCGAGGAAGAAAAACGCCATAAACATAAGCATCTGGCGCTCCGCGCGAATTTCTTGGATCTGCGCTGGCCCCCCCCCCTCTCTGGCGCGCGGAGATTGCCAGGAGGCGCCGCCGGGGGGCCCCAGCGCGGATCCAAGAAATCCGCGCGGAGCGCCAAAAGTTTATGCTTATCGCGTTATGCGCCCTCGCGCCCTCACCTCGCCTCCCCTGGGGTTAGGTCGGGCGTGTCCTCCCACAGGCGGATTTTGGACGAAACCAAGGAAATACTTTGAACAAATGCCCAAAAATAATCAAACAATCATCGAAAATCTACCCCAAGATCATTTTTTAACAATCTTCGAGTATTCCTCCTGTATCGGGGACGCGCAAACATTGATTAGCGATCCATGGATTTGGCACGCGGCCGCCAGATCCATGGATCGGGGGAGGTGCTCCCCCCAGAATGCGGCACCATGCGTCCGGTGTCGCCTCGCTCGGCGGCGGAAATCCGCGATTTCCCATGGAAACGGGACCCGTCGCTAATCCACGCCCCCTTGATCCATGCTCGCGATCGCCTGACTATCGCTTCCAAAAGAAATCCGCGATTTCCCATGGAAACGGGACCCGTCGTTAATCCGCGCCCCCATGATCCATGCTTGCCATCGCCTGACTATCGTTTCCAAAAGAAATCCGCCTGATCCATGCTTGCGATCGCCTGGCTATCGCTTCCAAGAGAAATCCGCGATTTCCCATGGAAACGGGACCCGTCGCTAATCCACGCCCCCCTGATCCATGCTTGGCATCGCCTGACTATCGCTTTCAAAAGAAATCCGCGATTTCCCATGGAAGCGGGACACGTCGCTAATCCACGCCCCCCCTGATCCATGCTTGCGATCGCCTGACTATCGATTGCAAAAGAAATCCGCGAGTTCCCATGGAAACGGGACCCGTCGCTAATCCACGCCGCCCTGATCCATGCTTGCGATCGCCTGACTATCGCTTCCAAAAGAAATCCGCGATTTCCCATGGAAACGGGACCCGTCGCTAATCCACGCCCCCCTGATCCATGCTTGCGATCGCCTGACTATCGCTTCCGAGAAAAATCTGCGATGTCCCATGGAAACGGGACACGTCGCTAATCCACGCCCCCCTGACCCATGCTTGCGATCGCCTGATTATCGTTTGCGAAAGAAATCCGCGATGTCCCATGGAAACAGGACCCGTCGCTAATCCACGCCTCCTTGATCCATGCTTGCGATGGCCTGACTATCGCTTCCAAAAGAAATCCGCGACTTCCCATGGAAACGGGACCCGTCGCTAATCCACGCCCCCCTGATCCATGCTTGCGATCGCCTGACTATCGTTTTCAAAAGAAGTCCGCGATTTCCGATGGAAACGGGACCCGTCGCTAATCCACGCCCCCTTGATCCATGCTTGCGATCGCCTGACTATCGTTTCCAAAAGAAATCCGCGATTTCCCATGGAAACGGGACCCGTCGCTAATCCACGCCCCCCTGATCCATGCTTGCGATCGCCTGACTATCGTTTCCAAAAGAAATCCGCGATTTCCCATGGAAACGGGACCCGTCGCTAATCCACGCCTCCTTGATCCATGCTCGCGATCGCCTGACTATCGCTTCCAAAAGAAATCCGCGATTTCCCATGGAAACGGGACCAATCGCTAATCCACGCCCCCCTGATCCATGCTTGCGATCGCCTGACTATCGTTTCCAAGAGAAATCCGCGATGTCCCATGGAAACTCGGCCCGTCGCTAATCCACGCCTCCTTGATCCATGCTTGCGATGGCCTGACTATCGTTTCCAAAAGAAATCCGCGAGTTCCCATGGAAACGGGACCCGTCGCTAATCCACGCCCCCTGATCCATGCTTGCGATCGCCTGACTATCGTGTCCAAGAGAAATCAGCGATTTCCCATGGAAACGGGACCCGTCGCTAATCCACGCCCCCCCTGATCCATGCTTGCGATCGCCTGACTATCGCTTCCAAAAGAAATCCGCGACTTCCCATGGAAACGGGACCCGTCGCTAATCCACGCCCCCCTGATCCATGCTTGCGATCGCCTGACTATCGTTTCCCAAAAAACATCCGCGATGATTTCCCATGGAAACGTGACCCGTCGCTAATCCACGCCCCCCTGATCCATGCTTGCGATCGCCTGACTATCGTTTCCCCAAAAAATCCCCGATGTCCCATGGAAACGGCACCCGTCGCTAATCCACGCCGCCTTGATCCATGCTTGCGATCGCCTGACGATCGTTTCCAACAGTAACCCGCGATTTCCCATGGAAACGGGACCCGTCGCTAATCCACGCCCCACTGATCCATGCTTGCGATCGCCTGATCATCGCTTCCAAAAGAAATCCGCGATGTCCCATGGAAACGGGACCCGTCGCTAATCCACGCCCCCCTGATCCATGCTTGCGATCGCCTGACTATCGTTTCCAAAAAAATCCGCGATATCCAATGGAAACGGGACCCGTCGCTAATCCACGCCCCCCTCATCCATGCTTGCCATCGCCTGACTATCGCGTCCAAAAGAAATCCGCGATTTCCCATGGAAACGGGACCCGTCGCCAGTCCCCGCTCCCCTGGCCCATGCTTACGATCGCCTGACGATCGTTTCCAAAAGAAATCCGCGATTTCCCATGGAAACGGGACCCGTCGCTAACCCACGCCCCCCTGATCCATGCTTGCGATCGCCTGACTAACGATTCCAAAAGTATATAATCCGCGATTTCCCATGGAAACGGGACCCGTCGCTAATCCACGCCCGCCTGATCCATGCTTGCGATCGACTGGCTATCGCTTCCAAAAGAAATCCGCGATTTCCCACGGAAACGGGACCCGTCGTTTCCAAAAGAAATCAGCGATTTCCCATGGAAACGTGACCCGTCGCTAATCCACGCCGCCCTGATCCATGCTTGCGATCGCCTGACTATCGCTTCCAAAAGAAATCCGCGAGTTCCCATGGAAACGTGACCCGTCGCTAGTCCACGCCCCCCTGATCCATGCATGCGATCGTCTGATCATCGCTTCCAAAAGAAATCCGCGAGTTCCCATGGAAACGGGACCCGTGGCTAATCCACGCCCCCCTGATCCATGCTTGCGATCGCCTGACTATCATTTCCCAACTAATCCGCGATGTCCCATGGAAACGGGACCCGTCGCTAATCCACGCCCCCCTGATCCATGCTTGCCATCGCCTGACTATCGCTTCCAAATGAAATCCGCGACTTCCCATGGAAACGGGACCCGTCGCTAATCCACGCCCCCCTGATCCATGCTTGCGATCGCCTGACTATCGTTTCCCAAAAACATCCGCGATGTCCCATGGAAACGTGACCCGTCGCTAATCCACGCCGCCCTGATCCATGCTTGCGATCGCCTGACTACCGTTTCCAACAGAAATCAACGATTCCCCATGGAAACGGGACACGTCGCTAATCCACGCCCCCCTGATCCATGCTTGCTATCGCCTGACTATCGTTTCCAAAAGAAATCCGCGATGTCCCATGGAAACGGGACCCGTGGCTAATCCACGCCCCCCTGATCCATGCTTGCGATCGCCTGACTATCGTTTCCAAAAGAATTCCGCGATATCCCATGGAAACGGGACCCGTCGCGGATCCACGCCCCCCTGATCCATGCTTGCGATCTCCTGACTATCGTCTCCAAAAAAACCGCGAGTTCCTATGGAAACGGGACCCGTCGCTAATCCACGCCCCCCTGATCCATGCTTGCGATCGCCTGACTATCGCTTCCAAAAGAAATCTGCGAGTTCCCATTGAAACGGGACCCGTCGCTAATCCACGCCCCCCTGACCCATGCTTGCGATCGCCTGACGATCGTTTCCAAAAGAAATCCGCGATGTCCAATGGAAACGGGACCCGTCGCTAATCCACGCCCCCCTGATCCATGCTTGCGATCGCCTGACTATCATTTCCCAACTAATCCGCGATGTCCTATGGAAACGGGCCCGTCGCTAATCCACGCCCCCCTGATCCATGCTTGCGATCGCCTGACTATCGCTTCCAAAAGAAATCCGCGATTTCCCATGGAAGCAAGGCCCGTCGCTAATACACGCCCCCCTGATCCATGCTTGCGATCGCCTGAATATCGCTTCCAGAAGCAATCCGCGATTTCCCATGGAAACGGGACACGTCGCTAATCCACGCCCCCCTGATCCATGCTTGCGATCGCCTGACGATCGTTTCCAAAAGAAATCCGCGATTTCCCATGGAAACCGTCGCTAATCCACGCCCCCCTGATCCATGCTTGCGATCGCCTGACTATCGTTTCCCAAAAAATCAGCGAGTTCCTATGGAAACGGGACCCGTCGCTAATCCACGCCCCCCTGATCCATGCTTGGATTCGCCTGACTATCGCTTCCAAAAGAAATCCGCGATTTCCCATGGAAACGGGCCCCGTCGCTAATCCACGCCCCCCTGATCCATGCTTGCGATCGCCTGACCATCGCTTCCAAAAGTAATTCGCAATTTCCCATGGAAACGGGACCCGTCGCTAATCCACGCCCCCCTGATCCATGCTTGCGATCGCCTGACTATCGAAATCCGCGATTCCAACAGAAATCCGCGATTTCCCATGGAAACGGGACCCGTCGCTAATCCACGCCCCCCTGATCCATGCTTGCGATCGCCTGACTATCGTTTCCAACAGAAATCCGCGATTTCCCATGGAAGCGGGACCCGTCGCTAATCCACGCCCCCCTGATCCATGCTTGCGATCGCCTGACTATCGTTTCCC